AGAGTAAAATGCATCTACTGTTACCTTTTAGGCTTTTAAAGGTGTATCATAAAATCTCCTCTGTATACAAATTGAACTTTAAGGGTGGATTCTCATAGTGAATAAAAATCAAATTTATGACAAGGATATCTCGAAGGATAAACGGAGTTGGAGAAAAAATTCCAGCGATGCTGACGACCGAAGGGAAGTCGATTTCAGTAAAATTTATTTCTTTACACCAGCAGCACCACCAGCACGTCCGGCGGAAGGGGTAACATCAACGACTGAGCATCTGGTGGAGAAGAGTGAAGTGAGCGTGGTCCTCAAATTCATAAAACATTGTCAAAACAGTCTGAAAACAGACCAGCCTTCTCCAGACCTTGCGAATAGATGAAGATCGGAATAACTTGCGTCAGTACCGACAGCAAACCACTGAAACTGTCAGTTAGCGGACACTAGTTGGTTTCCGATCCATAGCTGCGATTATATTCGGTGAAAGGGTCATCACTTGGAAAAAATTCATTCAACCGTACATTCCTGCATCGTTTGATGGTGCACTTCCAGAACCATCCGGAAGAAGGGGATCTTTTCGGGAATGATCGAGGTTACAGCTGTGCGAAATGCGAAATGTTGTGAACACTTTCTGAGTAACTGCTTCCAAGCCCTCGGGAGAGAATCGCCTGGAAGAACGCTGAATCGCACAGCGCAACTATCGAAAGATAAACAAACTTTGACGTTTAACATTTTGTAGGCAACATTGCCGCCAAAAATGCTGCCATAAATCTGAACGGGTTAGGATCAAGCAAAATGGCTTTAGATAAATACAATTCAGTCTACAAGTTTTCTTCATAAAAGCCATTTCAACACCTTATGAATTTGTTAGGGATTTCATGAAAGCAAAATAACTTTTTCACAAATGGCCCATGAAAATCAACTTGTAGGCCTCCGCCATATTACAATTATTTTGTTTTTTTTTTTTTACAATCTTCGATTTTCAATCTATATTTCCTTGGATATAACTTTATTTTAGTTAATTTAGCAATGCGAAAATATTTAGAATTCAAAAATCATGAGAAATAAAAATCTCGGCTTAGCTTAATGATCGATCAGAAGAATATTTTTTTTTTTCTTAATGTTAAACAATTAGTAAAATCATGACTTAGGTTCTGATCACCTTCCCGTAGCCTTTGCAATATCCCAAGAAATAATTTCTAATCCCAACAGCTCTACTTTCAATTACCATAGAGCTGGGAGCAATATCGAACATTTATGGAATATAGCTTTTATCCAAACATTCCTTTGTAAATCAAAGATGAAATTAATTATGCTCTTGAATCTCTGACTACTTCTATAGTTGAAGCAAGGGCTGCTTCAGTTCCAAAATGCGAGGTTAAATTAGATTCAATTATAATGGACGATGATCTTCAGCTCTTGATCCGTCTGAAAAATGTCCGTAGGAGGCGATATCAAAGAACACGCGATCCTGCCATGGAAGTTATCTGGCGAGATTTGAAAAAAAAAAACAAATTATAAAACCCTAAGGAACAAAACTTTTGAAAATAATGTTTCGAAATTCCCGAATTGCAAACCCACAACTCACAAAATGTTTGAAAAACCTCAAAAGCCTATTCCAGCGCTTAAAGAAGGTGGTCAAATTTTGATCACAAATTTGGAAAAAAGTTCAGACACTTGCTAATCAATTCGTGAGTTTCCGTTATTTCAGTTTAGATCTGACTTTTTATTATTATTATTATTACAATTGTCACTTTAACGCTCTTGGGTAATTTGTAACTTGTGCGGGGACTTTGATGTGAAAGGTATGGATGCTAACCTCTACGCCGGGTCTTACTAGTTCTATTGAGAATCAGGTTGCTCGCGATTATCTGAATATTTGTTCTCTATAGAAAATATTTTTTTATGATTCCTTGGGGACTGGTTTGAACGAAGTTAGATCTATAACTAAAAAAAAAAAATCAAAATATGAAAGTTTCATGTGATGATGGAATCAAAAAACTCCCAGAGAGTACCTTGTCTTTCTTGGTAAAATTGTTTAACAGATGTTTTCATTTGGCATACTTTCCTAATAAATGGAAAAATGCAAATCTGAAGGCTGCTCAACTGGAGTTGCTCTTCTAGACATAGAAAAAGCATTCGACAGTGTTTGGCATGCAGTTTTGAATGCTAAATTGAAAAAAAAGTTTAATTTTACAATCTATATTATGAAATTAGTTCAAAATTATTTTACTGACAGAACTCTGCAGGTAAATAATCGAAATTCCAAATCCGAACGACTACCTGTTAGAGCTCGAGTTCTTCAGGGTAGCATTCTTGGGCCTATATCGTATAACATTTTCACTTCGGACCTCCCTGATTTGCCTCCGGGTTGCAACCAACTCAACACTGCCATTAACACTGCACATGAAGAATATAATCGTAAAGTCAAAATCCTGGCCAAAATCGTTGGTGAAAATCCTTCTGAAATCTGCAATCTCTTTGCAAATTTCTTTCAGGAAGTATACACCACATTTTCTGAAAAAGACCGCGACCGCGACTTCTTTGCATTCATTCCCGAAGTCTCTAACAACATATCTGTCAATAGAATATGTCAACATGAAGTCCTTAATGCACTAAAAAATTTGGTCGCTTCTAAAGGACCAGGGCCAGACGGAATTGCACATGTATTCTTGAAGAATCTTTAAGAACAACTCACCTTTCCTTTAGAACGCCTTCTCAATATGTCTTTGAAAAATGGGATATTCCCTGAAATTTGGAAATCGTCTCATTTGTTGCCTATTTTCAAATCAGGCAAGAAATCTGACATCCGTAATTATTGTAGAATTGTCATTAGGGGTTAGATCTAATTTTGGGCCTACTAAGCACAACCCGTCCTTTGCCTCTATTTTTCGAGAGGATTTTTTTTTTCACAAAAGGGAATGTTTTCTCTGCAGATGACTTCTAAATGTATTAACCTTTACGTACGTACCGTAAGATTTGATATAGGGTTGAGGTATCGGATGAAGATAAAAATATATTCGGTTGGAGCACTTCTTTTGTTTTTGAGAATAGTGGGTGCAAACATTCATATCACGCGGTCTCACTGACTTCGTTCGGTAGCTTTTTAACTAAAGTATCGTACAAAACGCATAATTGACTTGTTAACTCTAAAATCATGGATTTAGTTGAAGTTTTCTGCTCGATAGGCCCAAAATGGGCGATTAGGCCGAAGTAGTTCTCTACCCTATCTCTTGCATCCCAAAACTTTTTGAATCAATCGTAAACGACGAAAAATTTCAGCAAGTAAAAAATCAAATTACAAACAAACAGCACGGCTTTTTTAAAAGGTCGTTCAGCTACCCTTCTTGTATTTGTAACCTTCATTCTAAACGCAATGGAGAATGGCAAGCACGTGAAAGCTCTTTATACTCACATCAGTAAAGCATTTGGCCGAATCGACATACCATTATTACTCTTTAAATTGCAAAAAAATAGGAATGGAATCTAGACTTCTGAATTGGATCCACTCATACTTAACGCAACGCAAAAAATAGTACGTTTTCAGAATAAATTTTTAGAACCTATTTCGGTCACCTCTAGGGTGCGCCAGGGTTCTCATTTAGGCCCAATTCTTTTTATTTTGTACATAAACGACATACTTAAAAAAAAGTTCTTATATATGCAGACGACATGAAGCTCTTCATGGAAATAAGTAATTCTAGCGACACAGAAGAATTCCAGAATAAAATCAACTTATTCAACACTTGGTGTAGTAAAAGTCTACTCCAACTCAATGTAAAAAATGCAACGCAATTGTTATTAGCAGAAAAATAGAAACACCTCTTTTTGAAATTTTTTAGGCAACCAAAAAGTAGAAAAATGTAATATTGTAAGGGACTTAGGTGTGATCCTAGACTCCAAACTCACTTTTGTAGAACATTATAATACAACCATAACGTAAGCAAATAGTATGTTGGGCTTCATTAAGAGGTTCAGCTATAATTTTCAAGACCCATACACTAATAAATTATTAAAGATTACATTCGTAAGACCCATACATTGCCATACACGAGATTAATGATTTTGCATATGAGATTTTTCCTTATTTCAAACATGAGTGGTCCTTTAGGGGCTTTTCCATTTGTTTGTACAAACGTCCAGTACCTGTGCTCCTACCCTACCAGCTGTGTGTTGTATTGTATCCCTATACACTGTCAAAAATATATACCACCAGGGCAGGACGGTCAAAACCACTGTCTTTTATTCATACATCCGTAAACACAACGTAGGAAAAGTTCTACCCGTGCGCGATCACCATTCTTTTCTCCAATCGGAACAACAAATATGCCTTCAGACCAAAGAAGATCAACTATTTATGTTGGTCTAATGGAGTACTGGATTTCGGCCCAGTGTCATTAGACCTAACCCATCACCGTCTGCACACAAGCCTAAATCTAAATGAGGTGAGTTAAGAAACAGCTACCTGTAATATGCTAATGTTTGCTAGCTAGTAGCCAAAAAGGTCAACCTCAAACCTTGATATCGTTTATAGGTAGCAGGTGATAAAATAGGTTTAAATCGATGCTGTGTGCGCCATTGAACTTTGGTTTTCTCTATTTGATTCGTCTTTGATAATAGAAATCAAAGGTGTGCCTTTATCCTTCAATCAATGTATAGTCAAAATTCGTACCATTAGGATATTTCTGAAATATAGCTCTTCTGCTCAGTTTTAAGTGAACAATTCAAGTGTAACTATTCAAATCGACGTATCTCCTTTTGTAAAAATCACTTCAATAAACGATGTGTCTTAACTGCTAACTCACCCACGCATACCAACACCATCATCAGGTAGGGGAATCTTTTCCCTACTGGTGTTGTTAGGTTCTGTGAGTGAGCTAGCTGTTGCCACAAATCGTCGATTGAAGTGATTGTTCACAAAATCAGATACGTCGATTTGAATAGTTACGCTTGAATTATATATATTTTTTACATTGATCTCCTTATACTTATCAAGTGGAAAAACATACGTTGTTATAGTTCTCGTGCGGTTGCATGTTGATTGCTTCCGATTGCCGTTGCACGACAATTATCACTGTACAGCAGCTTCGTTATTCTAATCACTCCTTCAATGCGCTAACGAGTAAGTTTGTCACATGTATCACTTGCTATTTGCCTTCAAAAATGAATTCTTCATAAATTTTGCTGGATAGCTGTAGCAATTCACATTCACCGCTGTCAGCAAAAATAATTTGCATCGCACACACTTTGTTTGTAGAACGATCTGTACTCATGTTCTATGAAGGTTTCGTCACATTCCCAAGCTGCAGACCAAAAATCCACGGCAACAACTGCGTGTGATACCAGTATCGTATGATGGCTTAACTACTTAGCAGCACCACAATTATTACACCTTCTTGCGATTAACCGTATGACTGATTTCGTTCCTAATTACACGGCGCTGTTGCCACTTGGTGATTACATCAATTTAATGTTCTACCGGACTTGCAATTTCCGTATTTCCCGCGGTTCGGAAACAATTACTGTTTGAAACAGCATCTACCGTTAACAACAGATCAGATTCATCGTCAGTGTCCACGGAACGGATCGAGAAGGTCAGTTGTGCAAGAAATCGGAATCGTCCTGCTGCGACGCACAAGCAGGTACCAGTCAGTCAACCGGTCGTCGCAGATCCAGGTCGATACACTTCAAAACGCAAACGAAGACTGAAGCTGGCTGAGAAGTGGACTTCTTTTCGTCTGCCCACTAGCGCGCTCACGGTTGGGTTGGGGCTAACCAGTATGTTAGCACATGTGCTTGGCGAATGGCGCGAATTTCTTGCCACTACTTTTTGTATGTCGGTACCTACGGCGTCATTCGTTGAGTGTGTAAAGAGCGGAGGTGCAAGAACTGGCAGCCTTGGAAGGAAAATGGATTTTTTTTCTTCCATTATTAATTCCGTTTCGCCGCCTCTCTGGGGTAACTATGCAAAACCACCAGTGAGAATTTGGCCACTCGGTTTGATGCAATGTTCTGCCGGTGAACGCATAAACTGACCGATGTAATGCTTGAGGTTGCAAGGTCTAGTGTAAGACATAGCTTAAATTAGGAAGAACTGTAATTTTGAACGAAAATAAGACCAAGTTGTCGTGTAACAAAAATTAAATTAAGTTAAAGCGAAGCCTGATAATTTTTGCAAAATCGAGAGTTCAAAATAAGGAAATAAGCATTCCAGGATCATAAATGCCTCAATTGGCGTTACGGGATATATTCTACACACCGGGAAATTTAGTTTTCCATAACAAAATATGCGTGCTAAATATACAATTTTGTTCAAGTGATGCAAAATGTTATGAAACTTTAGACTGTTCCTTAAAACCCTATCATAATAAGTATGTAGAGGAAAATTCCTATTTTACCTGATTTAAGGCCGCTTAATCTGACATTAGATTCCTTTGGAATGGAACGTTTATGTGAAAAACTGATTGCCTACGTTTAGGCGTATTCTTACTATTTTTCCACATAATATGCAGTTTTTAAAGCTATGTTGGGTTCTTACGAGAAATTTTAAATAAAATCCGCTCCAAATCTGCGCAAAACACATACAACTTATAAGGCAACACATATTAAAGGACTGATGATTTAAAAAATCATTGAGAAGTGACCAAAAGTTATGGAAAATAGAACCATTTCATTTGTTTATTTATCTCGCAAGATGTTTCAGAATTTGAAATGGGCGAACGCTCACGAACCACTTATTCGATTCGGTTCGAAAAAAGCGCGAACGAGACACGGTTCAACAAATTGAACGGTGGCTCACTATGAGAAAATGACGCACGAACCACGATTCAAGAGCCCCGGCTCTAGCAAATTAAGTCGCTGCTGATTTCCCGTTCACTGATGTTCGCTCTTTTCCTCTCTCGCCTCTCTCGCTTTTGTCACTTAGGCCGACAACATAGTAAAAGCGATTCGAAGCGATTCGATGCGATAGCAATTGGCAAAGCGAAATGCAGCGGCAAGCGAAGCAACCTATGACATAGTGAAAGCGTTTTTGAAAACATTACAGTCGCGCGCGCAGTGCAAAATATTTGTGATTTTCCGAATCGATTTCGGTGTCCATTTTTCCTCACTAGAATCAGTCCACTTGCGTTCGAAAGCGTCAAAACACAACACGAACAGCTCTGTCGCTTTGCTGAACGCTTTACACCTCTTCGCATCGCTTTCACTATGGCTGGTTTGGGCGATTCCCATAGAACGCTCATAGAGGGTGCTTTCACGCAAGCGCTCCGCTTATTGCCAACGAATCGAATCGCTTCGAATCGCTTCTACTATGTTGTCGGCCTAAGAGAGGTGCCACAGTCGGAAGAAGTGTTAGTTTGTTTACTTAAATGAACCATGCCCATTTTGTTATGGCAAGTTTGCTATAAGAAATGCTCCTCGTGTTTATTAGCGAAATTCACATCAAAGATTGATTAATTGCGTAGGAAATCAGTTTGGCACGGCATTTGTGACCAGCATACACCTTCCGGTCATACGTAATAGGTCAAAAACTGTCCAAATCCGCAGATAAAAAATTTTGTTTTGAATTTCTGTATGGCAAAATAGTGAACTTTTCGTGAACATTGATGGCAAAGAACTCACCAACACTGGGAGACCGTGAGTTCCTGCCCACCTGTCATAAAAACATCTCGGACTGCACCGATGGATTTGAGTTCATGCACTGATGGAATTTTTTATCTTCATTCAAGAGAATGCACCGTGAAAAAAGGGCGACTTCAGTAACTCGGTGACAGCTGAGGGTTCGCTGGATAATCGCAAATAGCATATCCAGATCCAGATCTTTCCTCACTTTGGTGACGTCTTCCTGCCATGTTCATGCTGTGAGAAAAGGGTTAGGCAAATTTTCGCTAATTTGATCATTTCCCAGGAATCATTTAGATCAAATCATCGTCAGGATACAATTTAATAAACTGCAAAAACATTGATTGGTCAAAAATAATTTACTAAGAACTATTTTCTATCTGCAGCTCTAGTGTAGTCACCACTTGAGACGTGGGTCATTCATGTGAAAATCTATCTGCTTTACTGCATTTCGGTTGGGTCAAACTGATACATGAATGCAGCTGCGATGGATCAATCGAGAAAATAAAGAAGCTTTACAAAGTCCCCATACTAGGGTGTAGCAATTTTTTGTTAATATGTTAACTTGCTCTTTGTTAAAATGGTAGAGTAAGCTGTTTGAAACAATAGCTACATAGGGGAAATGGATGTAATGTCGGCTTAAATTTTTTGCCCATACATAAATTCAGCAATCGACTAAATTTTAAATAGCGACCAAAAATATTCATTAGTACCGTCCCAATGACACGTGCATCTAGATAAAATTGATAAATAGCAGATTTTTAGCGATGGGCCCAATCTTAGTTCCTTAGGCCAAAATTAGAGCCATTTACCCTATATGAGAACACTCTAAAAAGAAAATATGCACGCCTGGATTTTCTCGATTTATGAAATAAAGTATTTTTTCAGACTAATTTCCAATAATATATTCACGGCTCGATTATTTTTGCACAAAAATCTCAGTTTTAAAAACTAACGTGTGAACTTCAAAAACAATAATACGGGGGAGGGGGGGGGGCGGTTTAAAAAATAAACCAAAAATAAATAAAACTTTTAAAATTCGTTTAACATTATATCTAAACCGTATATTTCAAACGCTAACATTTTTTTCTTAGCCTCCGCTTTAGCCTTATACTTCTTTGAAGTCGTGATTTTTGACACTAATGCCACAAATGTTGACTTTATTATGTGTAACACTCGAGTTATCAACAAAACATTTCGCGCATAAGTGTTTGTATCCTTTCAAAGAATAACATTGGTAAAAATGTAGATGAATAAGATCAAAGCAATTGATTTTTCGGTATTGATAAATTTCGGATAAACCATCAAGCGTAACCACGTAACAGTTCTTATGAAAAAAACAATCTGTTTTCGATACTTCCTCCCTATCCAAATATAACTCAGTTTTCTCAACAATTGTTCGTGCTTAAAAAAATCTAACTAGACTTATGGATTCAGGAAGGTCTATTCAATAAAATCCAAGCGTAATATTCAAAGAAAGGAGCCAAAATCCATCTTGGCTGAACATAAAAACCAAATTATAACTTTCAAAGGACAGTATCAAAATCCAACTTAGCAGAAAAGGAAAACCAAAAAAAAAAACCTTTTCGAATTATAAACCCGGTTCAACCTTCAGGTATGGATTCAGCAAGGTCCATTCAAAAAAAACAAGCCTATTTTTCAAAGATATGAGCCAAAATGCATTTGGCAGAACCGAAAAACCAAATTTGTATGAAAATACGGATGGATTCAGCAATTCGGTAAAATCCACTCCTATTTTTCAAAGGAAGGAGACGAAATTCGACTTGGCTGATCAAGAAACCCAAATTTCTATAGAAATACGTACTTTTGAGAATTCAAACCCAGTTTTCTAAAAAAATTGTGCATGCTTCAAAAAACTACAATGGACAGCCCAATGGGGTTGTACGCAATGATGACGTAGGACTACGTGGTATGATATAATAAATATTTTTGTTAACTGCAGCAAGAGCTTGTGTTTTGTGTAGGAATAGGAATTTTAGCGGGGTTCTCTCTGTTTATACTCTTTAGTATGACTATGATTGCCCTGAAAAGAACCGTTTGATATGAATTTTAGTTGGGACATGTTCAGAAAATTAACTCTTTTGGAAAATGTTTGTGGCCCTGAAAAGGGCCGATGGTAGTACAGGCTTAAAGCCTTTGGAAGATGATGATGACATGTAGGCAGCTGCGTATTCAGTGACGGCATCACGGATCACATTTTCTCGGCACACCTTCAGCACACCTCGGGTTTCCTCGTACATCAGACCGGAGATGAACTTGACACCACCACGTCGAGCCAGACGACGAATGGCAGGCCCTGGATGACACCAACACCGATGTTAACCGTTGAACGGGTGAATCGCAGCTAATGCGAAGGCGCAGTTAGCTACCTGTTATATAGACAACCAGCTCTGCCGGTACCATATTTTCTCGTTTCTTATTGGCTATACACAGTAACTAATTAGTGAGAAGTGAAAGGAAACAATAGTTGCAATTTCCAAACCTACGACTGGATGCCTTCCTTCAAATAACAACTGAAGTGCGGTAAAAAATCGGTAGAACTGTTTCAAACACACAGTTGGTACATGAGCGGGTCGGTCTTCATCTCTTTTTGCCAGTGGTGGCGGGGGGGGGGACACCCCTCACCATGCCTCTCCAAAGGGGGAGTTTGGTAAAGAGAGATGAAAAAACCGATTTGTGCCTTCCTTAAAAGTTGTCCTAGCTCGCTTGTCTAATATCTATATACAATCTTCACACTGCCGTACTCTAACGGAACTATCAACTCTATGCTTTCATCTACTCCATCTATCGTATAAAAATTACCACTACAGTCTGTTATTTGAAATTAGCATCTTCAACTATGTACACCAGTTGCTTTGTTGTTCTTCAGTCGACCGGTCTCCTCCTCAACTTCTTGAAGATCAGGGACCAGTAGCCTGTCGTCTCCTACACGTGCTCCAAGGTCTGTTGCCGTGCCACCTTCGTTTCTGCTGCATCACTGTTGAGGTACTCGTAATAGTAATGCTTCCACCTCTCAATTTTATGGAGTGACCATTTAACGGATGTTGTTGATCTTCCGGACGACGGTCCCATGGCTATCT